GGGGGGGGGGGGGGGGAGAGAGAGATGAGGCGAGATGGGGACATGGGCTTGTGAGGGTGCAAATGCATCTCTTGTTTAACTGCGCTAATTAAGTTTAATTTTAAAGAGTTTGTTCAGTCGCGAGAATTGAGAGTTCTTGTTTTCTTCTTGTTTCGGCGAGTCGCCTCGCTGGCATCGCCTCGACCTTGCCGACCTGCACGTGGGCCATTGGCCGGGGGGTGAAAGCGGGCGTTTTCATGATCAGTTTTCTACGTTTTTTGTTAATTTTGGAGCGTTTTAGTTTTGCATCTTAAATAGAAGTGTTTTTACTGCCGAGATCGGCCCACCGAATGGCTGGGGAGGCACAGGAGGCGCAGCGCGGGAGCGCCGCCTGCTGAAACCCCCGGCCACAGGACTGTGGCCAATGGGTCGCCTTCGTTGCCGATGAGTTCCTGAGGATGTTTGTTATTTATATTCTTTTCCTTTTTAATTCCATTTAAACTTAGGGGTTTTAGCTGTTGGTCTTTTAACAGGGCCGTGAGGTGTCTGCTCAGCCAGTCGCCGATCGGGCTTGGTGGCCACAGCACTGTGTTCGTCTTTGCGGACACATTCTTCTTTCTTTGATCTTTTCTTCTTGCAGGGTTTCGACTATCCTCATAAGAAGGGGAAAAGGAAGGCTGTGCAGCCCTTTTCCCTTCCTTATCGGCTCGAGCAAACCCCCTGGAGTGACGCTGCCTCTGCTTCTTCTATGACTCGTCTTCGTCCTCCTTCTCTCTCTTCTCGCCTCTTCTTCTGCTGCGTATAAGCTACTCATAAGCCCTCTCTGCGGCGGCTCTTTCTACTGTTCTCGCGGTTGCTGTTGTGTTTACAGCTTCATCTGCTGCATCTGCAACAACAAGGCTCCGCCAATTGCTGCTGCCCCGAGAGCCTCCAGAACGGCCGTGCGGCTCAGGAGAACAGCAGCAAACCAGCAGTTGCTGCTGCTGTCGCCTTCGTCGAAGTTTGCGCATGCACCGCTGCAGCAGCGGCCGCCGACAGCAAGCCTATAACCACAGGTGCAGCAGGACTTGTTGCTGCGCCTGGAAGAGGAACAACACGATGGCGCCCTTTAGGCAACAGCAGCCGCAGCAACCGCTGCAGGAGAATGATCCACAACCCCAGCACCCGCATCAGGTGCAACAACAACAGCAGCAGCAGCAGCAGCAGCAGCAGCAACTACACCAGCGGCAGCTGCAGCAACGGAATGCTAGGCGACCCCTCACGGGAGATCAGAATATCCCCACCAACAGAAATAACCAGCAGCGCCTGTTAGAGTCTGCAACGGCTGCTCCAGGTAGTCCTGCAGCAGTTGCTGGAATTATGAATGCAGCGCCTGCAGCAGCAGCAGCAGCAACAGCAGCAGCAGCTGACCCTATCCGTCCTGAGCTTTCCACGCATGAACCCCTGCCGACGCAACAAGTGGCGCCGCAGAGGTTATCAACAGCAGCAGCAGCAGCAGCAGCAGCACCAAGAGCAGCAGGAGCACCGACAGCATACGACGTAGCTTTCTCTCTACACGACAGCAGTCTTCCTCCTAGGGTAGACTTTCTTCCTCCTTTCCCTCATCGTCTGCTGCGCGGATCCAACGCAACTCTGCAACAGCAACAACGACAGCCCCTGCAGCGTCGGGAGCAGCAGCAGACACAGCAGCAGCAGCAGCAGCAGCAGCAGCTTCTACACCCCATACAGCAGCAGCAGCCGCAGCAGGAAGAGCAACTGTCTTGCCTCCCTTCAATTCAGAACGAGGAAGCCTCTACGGACGGTGGTGCTCGGCCAGCTCCCGCAACTCGACCAGCAGCAACAGCAGCAACTGCAGCATCAGCAGCAGCAGCAGCAGCAGCAGCAGCAGCAGCTCCTGGTACAGCACGGTGGCAGTGTGTGCGGGGGCGCCCGGATACCCGAGGTGAAGGCGCGCAGCAGCAGGAGCGGTGGGGGAACCACGAGCAGCATAGACGGCGGCGGCTGCAGCAGCACCAGCAGCATCTGGGGCCGAATCAACAGCAGCAGCAGCAGCAGCAGCAGCAACAGCAGCAGCAGCAACATGCTCACCTGCGTCGGCTCGCCGGGCATCAGCTGGCTCAGCAGACGCGACTGCCGCAGCAGCAGATGCTGCAGCAGCAAATATGCAGTGTATGCTTTCCCTTCACTTGTGGGTGCATGAGCAACGAAATTGTCGCTCGTGTAGCAGCTAACAGCAGCAGCAGCAGCAGCAGCAGCAGCAGCAGCAGCAGCAGGACCGGCGTAAACAGGGGATCCATGTATGGTTTTTCTCCTGGGTTGACGGGAGA